AAGATATAAGTTCCCAGTGTTTCTTTCTAGCCAATTTATAGGGTGCCACAAGTTTGTTAAAATTTCCAAAGGGTGCCGCGACTAAAAAAAGGATGGGAAACAATGGTTTAGACCAAGGCCACTTTGACTTTGACGCTAGATGAAATTCAACAGGACTGTTTGATGCACTAAGATATTTCATAAATCAGATTTTAATGTTTTTGTATTAGCATATGTAAACAGGTTAATTATCAGGACAAGGGTAAAAATGCTTTAAATGGACCTTGAAATACATTGCAATCATGTCAGTTTGTTCCCAGAGTACATTTAAAGTATGTTTGTTACTTTGGCAGATGCAGTATTCATGTGAATTATTTCTCTTAAAGTCAGCTTGAAACTGCATTTGCAACCCATTTTAGCTCTATAATATGATATATATATATATATATAAGGTAAGATTAGGCATTTTAGAGTTGGGGCAGGTTTTGTCTTTAAAATAATGTGTAACGGTTAATGGTTCACAGTAAGACCAGGACTATGAATTAAGGAACAGAGTCTGTTTTAACTTCATGTTGACTTGTATTCATGTTATTGTGTAGTTAGTTACCTAGAAGTTTGGTGAGTGGGGAACATTTTATACAAAGATAATATAATGTTCCAAAAAGGACCTTGCAACAACGCAAAACCCTATAAAATTGCATGAAACTGCATGAAATAGAATTTCCTGCTGACACACATGAAGGTTGTGCAAGAACAGCGTGTCCTGATGTTTTTTTTTCTTCCTTTATCTTTCATGCAGAAGCACATCAACAATTTACCAGGCAGATAAATGCAGGTCTGAGCGTCAAATAGATGAATTATTTTTATTAAAACAGCATTAATTGTGCTGTGCATCTTAGATTTAAAAGGGCTTGGAAATGATTAAATGGAATGATTATTATAGTTCTGCCACATTAAACCTTTAGCCTATATAAGATGACAATTTGTGTTACTCTTTCTAACTCTTTCTATTATTCTTGCATATGTGTATATGTGAGAGAATTGTGACATTGAAAATCATTTTATCTACTGTTTTTCTTGAAAGAAATTACATTTTGTACAGACTGTGAGTCAAACTGTTCTGACATTGAAAAGACAAAAGCCTCATTTGTAGTATATGTGAGCTAACATTTTACAAACCTACTATGGTGCTGTTAATCCTTTATTCTTTAGTTTATTTTAAGTTCTCAGTATTTATTTTAAGATTCGCAAAATGGAATTTTTATTTTTTTTCTTCTTCTTGTCCAGTTACCTTGTGTCACTATAATAGTGACCTGGCAACTAGGGCTGTCAAAAAAAAAATAGAATATTCATCGAAATTTAAAAAAAAAAAAAATCCACATTTGAGTGCAAAAACGTTGCATTTGAATTTTATGTCTGCGTCAGCCGTCAGGCAGCCTTATCAGTGGCGCACGAGATGCGACGACGATGTAAGTGTCGTTGCATTTTAATGCTTTTGTTAGCCTTTCCAGTTGAAGCCACTAGATGCGGCGCTGCTACGTTGTTCATTCAAAATATTG